ATGGGCAGAGTCAGCCTTGTGGGAATGGGAGTACTCAGGAGAGCAGGCATCTGACTCATGCACACCTGGCCTGGTAGCTGTTCAGGCAGCACGCACACCATGCGTTGGCTGCCACCTGCAGAGGACTAGAGGGTTAGGACACTGCAGACAAAGTGTGAATAGTGTGACAGCCCATGACAGGGACTTGAACAGATGTGGGCTGAGGTCCCCAAAATGTCCTAAGGACTGACATTACACAAACAGAAGCAGGCTCGGCCTTCCTGAGGCCCATTCACACTCTCACCGCCTAACGCAGGCCTGGTCTTGCTCATAGTCGCTCCTGTTTGACTCAGTTCTGAAGTGATGCCTCATTCTGAGCATGAAGGGATGGTAAACATCCAGCACCAGGACCCCTCCTCCCGAGAAGGCCAAAGCTACCTGCCATACGTGTCAGAGCCCGCTCCAACGAGCCAGCCGGGTTACCCGAGCAGGGACGTGAAGACTGAGAAAAGGCGGATAAAAGAAACAAAGACAGAAACACAGGATAGATTCGGGAGGACTGCCCGGTCCATGCCTTTCAGCACACCGGGCAGCCCCGAGTTTAATTCAGACCCTGCTCATATACAGACTAGAGGCAAAGCTTTAGACCCTGCTTATATATAAACTACAGGCAAAGCAGAACAAAGAGCAGCATAGTCAATTAACCAGCTCCCTGCACTGTTCTTGCACCGAGGAGCAGCCAGGCTCACTGTCTATCATGTGGGTTCTACTAGCAGCAAGCAGCTGCACTATCTATCTGTGTGCCTACAGCAGGCATCACTCGCTCATTAGAGAGAAAATACACTCTATCCCATGGGCTTAATCAGAACTTTCTCAGGGATCTCAAGGAGACTGAAACAAGCAAGCTTGAACTCTAATGTCATAGGAGTCAGAATGGACTTCAGATGGAAACTGAGACACTTGTGGACCCTTCTCCTAGGCTCAGCAGCAGCAGCCGCAGACAGAAGGGGATCAATCAGCTAGACTGCAGGAAACACAAACCATGTGAGCTTGTGAGTCCCCTCCCCCAAGAAGGTCACCTCCTCCCTGCATAGTGGGCCACTCAGGCAGTGGATGGAGGAGCTGGGTACCTCCCCTAGCCAGGCAGTCAGGTAGAGGCGAAGCCAGCATAGAACCCAGGCTTTCAATCCCACAGCACAATGTTCTGAACACCAGAGGGTGCTAGGTAAAACCTGCTGAGAGCCACCCTTGAAATAGAATTATCAAACATGCCTGCTCAAATGCCACATAGATACCTGCATACATGTACATACTCACATGCATACACAAATAAATACTTGTACACTCACACACAACATAGCACCACGCACACAACCATCTTTGGAATTCATCATATTAATACATTCAAACATATTGACCTAATAGGCAAACATCTTCTGTCATTTAGTGCATGAAGAAGTTCCCCTATAGTTCTTAAATCTTAGCGTCAGAGGGCAAATTTCTCTTTTCAAAAAATTGTCTATATCAATCTATGTGTGTGTGCGTGTGTGCACAGGTGTGAGGACATGGGCACACATTTGCACACATACTCCGAGGGGGAAGTTCTCTCCTCAGACACTGACTTTCTGGTGTGAGATGGACCCACCCACATGTCCCGTCTGTGAGTGCGGCCAGGCAGGGCTCTGCAGAGCACCGTGCATACCACACTTATCATTACTGTTCTGCCGTTCTCCACTGACCAGCTAGCCGGATCCCATCCAACCTCCCATGTGCCCAGACCATTTCCTTCCTCTGGAACGCCAGAGTCAGCATCCCCAGAAGCCTCCGCCTGCAGTCTGAATTTCAAAATCAGTTCATACGGAGACGAGTAAAAATAGCTTGGCATTTCTGCATGCTCTTCAGGGCCTACCAAACGTGGCTTGTTCCATAGGGGACAGGGATCAGTGTGGCCACTGCAGGACTACTTGAGACCCACATGGAGGGCATGCCCGCTACATGGAGACCATGTCCTCTGTCACATCCTGGCCTGTGTGACCTTAGATTCCAAAACTATTCCTTCTCATTTTAAATCCCCACATCAGAGTTTCTGAGCAGCGTTCTTGACGGCAGCACTTCCTCGCCTGTCTGTGAACTGAGAGGTCTGTGCCCAGGCACTGGGCACGGAGTCTTACGTGCAGCCCTATTGCCCAGATGCCACAGAGCACACACATCAAGGGAAGCCCTGGCGCCTCTTGCACAGCAGCAAGCACAGGGAGACCAGCTGACCTGGGTCTCCAAGGATCCCTCCCAGTGCCCTAGATTTCAGCACCTGTTCCTGCTGGACCTGCTCCACAAGCAGGAGACAGAGCTACCGGGGCCGAGCCCTAGCCCTCTTCCTGTGGCATGGGTGGGTGGTCTAACCTCCCTCTTTGGCCCAGTTGTGGTCCACACGTACACTTTCCTGGGAAGGCTCCCAACATGCAAGATGAAGGTAGGATGTGTATTTGTACATGTGAACATGTGGAGCACACATGTAGAAGTATGTGTGCCGGGGTATGTATGCTGTGGGTGGGGTGTGAGTGTGGGCAGTGTGTATGCTGTGTGTGTGTGGAGTGTGTATGCTGTGTGTGTGTGGAGTGTGTATGCTGTGTGTGTGTGTGGAGTGTGTATGCTGTGTGTGTGGAGTGTGTATGCTGTGTGTGTGGAGTGTGTATGCTGTGTGTGTGTGTGGAGTGTGTATGCTGTGTGTGTGTGTGGAGTGTGTATGCTGTGTGTGTGTGGAGTGTGTATGCTGTGTGTGTGTGTGGAGTGTGTATGCTGTGTGTGTGTGGAGTGTGTATGCTGTGTGTGTGTGGAGTGTGTATGCTGTGTGTGTGTGGAGTGTGTATGCTGTGTGTGTGTGGAGTGTGTATGCTGTGTGTGAGGAGTGTGTATGCTGTGTGTGTGAGGAGTGTGTATGCTGTGTGTGTGTGTGGAGTGTGTATGCTGTGTGTGTGTGGAGTGTGTATGCTGTGTGTGTGTGGAGTGTGTATGCTGTGTGTGTGGAGTGTGTATGCTGTGTGTGTGTGTGGAGTGTGTATGCTGTGTGTGTGTGTGGAGTGTGTATGCTGTGTGTGTGTGTGGAGTGTGTATGCTGTGTGTGTGTGGAGTGTGTATGCTGTGTGTGTGGAGTGTGTATGCTGTGTGTGAGGAGTGTGTATGCTGTGTGTGTGTGTGGAGTGTGTATGCTGTGTGTGTGTGTGGAGTGTGTATGCTGTGTGTGTGTGGAGTGTGTATGCTGTGTGTGTGTGGAGTGTGTATGCTGTGTGTGTGTGGAGTGTGTATGCTGTGTGTGAGGAGTGTGTATGCTGTGTGTGTGTGGAGTGTGTATGCTGTGTGTGTGTGTGGAGTGTGTATGCTGTGTGTGTGTGGAGTGTGTATGCTGTGTGTGTGTGTGGAGTGTGTATGCTGTGTGTGTGTGGAGTGTGTATGCTGTTTGTGTGTGGAGTGTGTATGCTGTGTGTGTGTGGAGTGTGTATGCTGTGTGTGTGTGGAGTGTGTATGCTGTGTGTGTGGAGTGTGTATGCTGTGTGTGTGGAGTGTGTATGCTGTGTGTGTGTGGAGTGTGTATGCTGTGTGTGTGGAGTGTGTATGCTGTGTGTGGGGGGAGTGTGTATGCTGTGGTGTGAGTGTGCGTGGGGGTGTGTGTATGCTGTGGGAGGGGTGTGTGTATGAGAGGGCATGCATAGGAGTTATGGCTAATGTGTTAGGCTATAGGCGGCTGTGCATGCTGTGGGTGATATACAGGAGGGAGGGAGAGAGAGAGTGAGAGGGAGGGAAAGAGAGAGGGGGAGAGAGAGAGGGAGAGAGTGGGGGAGGGTATGGGTATGGTGGTATGGTGGGTGCTGTGATCAAGAGATGCTATCCAAGGACAGTGAAGGGTACAGAGCCCTGGCGACCCCCATTTTTTCCTCAGAACTGGACCTTTGGAACATTTGACTTCCACACCAGATTCCTACCCATCCTGGGCTAGAAGTCCAAACCTAGTAGGGAAGAAAAACAAGGCTCTTACCAGCACTTGAACGTGTGCAGAGGACCAAGGTGTGGCGGGGCTAGGAGAGTTGGCTGGTGACCTCTGACCTCTGGGTGAGAAGGCAGGCCTGAAGGCAGTCAGGGTGAGAGGAATAGACTGATGTGCACGGGTGGGAGAGGTGGGAGACTAGGGCCCTCCTTGGGAAAGGAACACAGTGTGTCTTACTTGGCACCGTGCCCTCTGCCTGTGTCTACAGGACAGTCCCTCCAAGAGGAGGCATTGGCCACCAATACAGTGAATAGCTTCCAGAAAGCCTGTCTGGAAGGGACAACCAGTCCTTGAACCACAGTGTGACAGCCACCCCTTCCCTTCCCGGGTGGGACACACCCCTTGCCCTAAGCAGCTGCAGAATAGGGGCATGGGACCAAGGACAAATGGGGTCGGGGATGTCAGAACTGAAAGGGACCCTCTGCTTAGTGAGGAGGGGACGGTGGCAGTGGGTGAATGGGGCCCTGTGGTGAAGGGCGAGAGCGGGCTTCCAGCTTCGCTCGTGCTGGGAAGGGCACTCACCACACTCTTCATGCTGCCTCCGTGGCTGGGATCCCAGCCGTATGTCCCCAAGTCCAGTTTACACAGTGCTGTGGATGGAGCCCTGTGTGTGGAACGCACTCTTCCCACTGAACTTCACCCCCAACCGAGGGCATCACACTTCTGCAGGCCACCTACTGCCACAGGCCCATTCTCAGGATGCTGGGTCAGGAGTTCTCAGTGGGAGGCCTGACAGGCATGAGTGGTACGTAGTTATCCTAAAACCGACCCGGGTGGCTGGTCCTTGTGTGTGCCAAAGGCCTATAACACACTCAGCCGTCCTCTGAGTTTGCCCTGTGCAGGTGTGATGATTCTTCTGTACTAGCTCTTGACACAGGTAGAGGACAAGCTTGCAACAAGTGGCCTTTGGTGCTTACCCAAACTGTAGTGTGTTTGCCTGCTGTGCCCAGACTCTGAACCCCCCAAACCACCAAGAGACCAGTTCCGATGCAAAAGCAAAGAGTCCTTTTTTATTAACGACTTAACTGAGGTTAACTCAGGTCCTATGTCTGTCCAACACAGCAGGTGGAGTAGGAGGGACCCCAAGCAGCAGTGGGGCAGGGCATATGTTGGGGATAGAGCAAGAGGAGTGTCTGGGATCTGCTAGTTGCATAGCAACAGTCTCAGGATTGGTGTTCCTCTGGGTTGATTGGTCAGCTGCAGCTACAGAAAGGTTGCTGTGCCTGGAGGCCATCCCAGGGCAGTTGCTATGCCCTGCCTTCCACTATTGTCAGTAAAGCACATCCAGAGCCCACCAGCTGACTTCTGATTGGTTCCTTGCCGCGTGGAGGATGTCTGACTTCCTAGTGATCAGGGCAAGGTTGGGGCTCAGCCCCTGTTGCTGAGTCAGGGGCCTGTGTCTTACTGGGTCTTTTCTGCAGCCTGTGTGGAAGCAAGGCAGGGGCTGGGGGAGGGGCTGGGCCCTTCACGTGAAGGTCAAAAAGCCCCTCCAGGCAAAGTCAACGGCAGAGCGGAGGATCTCGGTGTTGGCAGGTGTTCTGGGCAGTAACTCCTGGAGCATGGCAGCATCCATCCCAGGGCTCAAGGACTCCTGGGATGGCACCTGCTTCTAGGCAGAGGAGGATTCTTGGTCGAAATCGGGGAAAGGAGCAAAGTCCGTTTTGTGCCACTGCTGTCTTCCTGTCCCCTCTGTGGCATCAGCAGTGTGCAGCGCAGACCACTCTTCCCGAGTCATCTGTGGGAGTGTTCAGCCTGGACCCAGCCCTGTTTGTGTCCCGCCCAAGGATGGAGTGGGGTAGGCACTGGAAACGGTCACTAAACAGAACCCCAAGAGCCTTCTGCCCCTTCTGCTATGTGGGGGCAAGCCCCTTGCCAGGTCCTCGATCTGCAGACGCTTACATCTTGGACTTGCGGGCTCCAGAGCTTGGGGTCACCAGTTCCTGTGGGCTATCACTGCCCAGTCTTAGTGTTGTTGCAAAGTGGAAGTCTGAAGGACTGGGCAAACTGGTGTCAGCTGTGGGGTGAGACTGTAACAGACGTCTGATATGTGGGAATGGGGTGACAGAGATTTCCCAGCTACAGGCAGAACCTTGTTAAAGGGAAATTAGTGGGATATGGAGCACACAGCTATAACCTGATCATTCCGGAGACTGAGGCACGAGGATGGACAGCCTGAGCAATAGAATGAATTCACAAAGAGACAGATAAATTTAATCCATGACACTTATTAAAGTAGCAAGGCCGACTCTATTAAAGGCCGACCAACAAGCACAGGGTCCACCCAGGAGGGTTTGGTGCAGGGCAGGGGCAGGGGGGGGACTGATCTCAATTCTCAATTCAACATGAGGGAATAGGGGTTTAGAGTCAAGGAATGAGGGAGTTGGCAGATGGAAAACCTAAAGAGGAAACATCAGGATGCAGGGAACTCTGTCAGGCCAGGGTCCCTAGATGTCACCTAAAGGACGCAGGTGAGGAGCCTGGTCAGACATGGAGGGCGTGGTCTCTTGATAAACTGACAAAGCAGAGTCCAGAGGAAGCGCCCAGGCCTCAGAGCCAAACTACCATATGGTTGTCTTGAGTCTCCGTCACCTTAAAGGGAGATTCTAGGGAGGACTAGGGAATAAAGGAGACCGAGAACATGGCATGGTCATGATCACAAGCCTGGGGGAGAATGTCACTAAGACTCTCGGAGGTTGCAGAGTCGGGACTATGCCGCTGGAAACTGGCTACCCTTGCTATAGAGCGGTGAAGAACTTGATCTGATTCTCTTCCTTTCCTAGTATTTTCGGAGCTTACAGGAAAAGGAGTTGATTTTTAGCAAAAGACATGACTGAGCACCGTGCTGCAGGTGTGGGTTGGTGATTCTGACGGCCTATAACAGAATGGAGGAAGGGAAAATGATTCAAAAGTAAAATGCTGAATCATTAAGGAAGTAGAACTTTAAAATGTGCAAAACTCTCCACCTGCTAGCTGAAGGAATGAGAAAGCCTGCTAGGGAAGTCAAGAATGTTGGGCCTTGATACCATCATCCTGAACCGTCTATTCCCAAGAGAGAGGAGTAACCACAAAAGCATTGGCAAGATTATCCAACATCCCCTCCCATCACAGGCCTGCAGTTTCCAGATGTGGGGGAGGAGGGGGGACAGAGGTGCTGTGGCCCGCTCATCTCACAGAACACAGCTGGCTCCCCCACTGCACTCCTCAGCTGCCTCGGTGGCCTTCACAAGCCTCTCTGCTGTGTGCTCAGCAGTAAGGGCATGGCTGTCTCCGCCTACACTTCAGAGGGTCCCTGTGAGCTTTTAAAGCCACGCAGACCCACCGTGGGAACCAGCTCAGAGGGTCCCCATTAAAGCAATGTCCCATGGAGCTGGGGGGAAGCTACATCTGAGACCCAGGCCCGTGGTTGCTGCTTACACAACACTTAGGCTTGAATGTGGGCAGCCCAAGTCTCGGGCGTAGACCTACCTGGGGGTCCTCAGAGAATAGCCATACGGCTAGACCAGGCGCAGAGCTGTGGGGATATCCTGGCAGGTTCCCTTGTCCTGGGATATCAGCCACCCCAAATAAACACAACAGGATACTGGTATACTGAGCCCTCGTCCGGTTATAGTCTTCACCCAAAGGAGCTCCAGGGCTGGGTAAAAGTGAGCTTGCAGTTACCCTCAGAGTTTTGATCAGATTCATTTTCCCTGCCAATTAAAAAGTTAAAAGACAGGGAGAATATCTCAGGCACAGTATACAGCAACAGGCATGGGAAATACCTACAAATGGAGAAGGGCTTCAGAAACAGAAACCCAGCCCTCTGGGAGGGCATGGGTCTTTGAAGTGGTTTTGGTGGTACAGGATGGGCACCTCTCCCAATTTTACATAGGTCAAGCTGAGCAAAGAAAGGCTCACTAGAGGGCTGGAGAATGGCTACTTTTGCCAAGGACCTGGGTTCGATCCTTCTGCCGGCCTTGTGCAGGTGGGTTGGCCCATCTGCTAAGAGTTAGAGTACAAGAATCACACCGTGCCTGGAAGAGGGTATTGCAACACTCTAGCACACCCTTTGGTCCTCACATTCTTTCCGCCGCCTCCTCCCCAGTGCTCTCGGAGCTGGACACCGGTAGAGGAGCTAGCAGAGCCTTCAACAGTCCCTTGTTCTCACACCTGGGCTGAGGGGACGCCCTTCTCCAGGTCCTCGGTTTCCCACCTCACGCCAGAACTTGTCTGAGACCCCGAGTAGCAGAACCCTCCTGCAACACCACCAAACCCTTGCTACTGAGAGTTCTTGTGCTCTTAAGAGTCATATGATGCAGCCGGGTGGTGGTGGCACACGACTTTAATCCCAGCACTCGGGAGGCAGAGGCAGGCAGATCTCTGTGAGTTCGAGGCCGGGCTGTACCAACAGCCTCCAAAACAATACAGAGAAACCCTGTCTCCTAAAACCAAAAAAAAAAAAAAAAGAGTCATATGGTGCTATAAGAATGGTTCGGCGGTTAAAGAGCCACACACATAAAAATAAAATGAAGCATGTTAAAGTCCTACACCTCAGGCTGCGGCTGTAGCCCAGAGGTGGAACACCTGTTAGGGTGTGCCAGGAACCAGCTAGATGCACAACACCTCAGAACAGGGGCAAGAATGGAGCAGGGCGGAGGCAGCTCTTGACAGCTTTTTGTCCAATATTCTCGAGATTCCCTCTTGCTTTCTAATTCAAATGACATTTTTTAAATGCTACAGGCAAGTAATACGCATAGCTTCCTTGGTTTCCCTGCCCTCTGCTGGTGAGGTCTCAGCCTTGAACAGTTTGGAAGCAGGTCTCCTCCCCACCAAGGTCTGGGAAGGAGTGTGCACACGGAAATGGTAATGTGCATGCTAGCCCTCATCCCCGGCAGGAGGGGGTCTTTCTGGCCTGCGCTGGATAGAGAGGAGACGCATCTATGTTCCTAGTGGTGACTTTACAGACAAGCCACTGTGCAAAAAGTGTGGTGGTGCCAAGAAAGAGAGACCGCCAGCAAAGCCGTCCTCTGGCAGCTTGAGCTGCTCTTGCTGGTTGAACACAGCCTGCTTGGCCCAAGGACTCTGACCACACCCAGCCGAACCCACGCAGTGGGGCCTCCACATGCTGTCTGTGTCGGGGCTACTGTTGCTGCAGTCCACCAAGACTGAAAACACTTCTACTTCCCCAGAACGGGCAGGGCAGGGACTCAGTCATTTGTTTCTCTTCCCACTGCAGTCGTGCTAAATACATCTACGACTTTCTCTTTTCACTATTGTCTCTTTATTGGTGTGGGAGCCAAGGCCTGGACTCTGTCGCTAGCAGCTCTGGTGGAGGGAGCGTAGGGAGAGAGTGAACTCAGGGAGAGGTCAGCAAGATAGAAGACCCCAGGGGACAACCCCATGGCTCACCCTCTTTGGCCTTCTGCCGCCCACCAGGTCCCACCATTGCCACCCGACTATGAATCCATCGAGGGACAAATCCATTGATTAAATCAGCAGCCTTGGAGTCTAACTGTGTGCAAACGTCACTATAGAAGCGCCCCAGAAGTGAGCTTTAATAACCTCCAGGGCATTTCCTAACCTTGACGATCAAAACCAACCGTCACACACCCTAAGATTTGTTTGGGAGAGAAATCCCGATGTCGGTATTCATTCTTGTATCCTGGAAAACATTTATTGGATGATTTCGACATCTAGATTGCTTGAGCAGGGCCTTTGAGATGATTCACCAGACAAAGGCACTTGCTGAGCAAGCCGAGGCACCTCAGTTCCACTCCAGGAACCCACACAAATACGGAGAGACAGAGCCAACTCTACAAAGTTGTCCTCTGACTTCCACATGGGCATGGCAGTATCCGACCCATCACATTAACAGTAAATCATTTTTAGTTTAAAAAGATTGTAGAAGCTGTGTTTGTATGTGGGGAAGGGCCAATTACAAATAAGAATTTTTAAAGAAAGCCATTTCTTCTATATTTTCCAATTGCCATTATAAAGTTAAGAGTGTCCCCTTGTTAAGTACTGTATGTCCATTACGGCTCCTTTTGCTTACTCGGTTGATGTGGAAGTCCTGTGTATATGTCAATAAAGCATTGTTGGCCAATAGGGAAGCAAGATAGGTGGGACTAAGAATTGAGGAGGACTCTGGGTAGGAGAAACACAGGAAGTCAAGATGTAACCGCCATGGGGTAGGAAGCCCGGAAACTTCTCCGGTAAGAGATATACTTAGATTAACAATTATGGGATAAATACTTAAGTCAGAGCTAGCCAGTAAGAAACAAGCAAGGTCTCTGCCAGCTACCAAGGGAAGTCAGGACTACTTAGTAGTAAATTGTGGCTAATGAAACTAATTTACCTTATGAACCTACTGCCATTCAATAAGTTCTGACCTTGAAAAAAGAACCTCGCACAACATCTGTTTCTGGTACAGTGCTATGTGTCTTCTTTTTGGACACCTTGTCCTGGCCAATACTGGGATAGCCAGGGAGCTCATACATGACTACCCATGACAACAGGGGTGGGGTGGGATGGGGAGACAGAAGCAGAAGAGCAGCTTGGCTAGGTGGAGTTTTCCGTTTACTTTCACAGTAGCTTGCTGCCCTTGTTCCCCGTTTCCCCCATTCCCATGCCCCACTGCATACCCCATCAGCTGTGCCTTCTGTCCCACTGGGAGCTCCTTCAGGAAGCTCTGATTGCAACATCCTGAATTCCACCTTTCTTTCTCCTATAGCCCTGGGCTGACAGAAGGCAAGCCATACTTGTGACTCATGACCCTGACATCTGTTCACTGTGGTCTTAGGTAACATTTTATTATCTGCCCCTGCTAGTGAAGCTTTGTTTTACTCTCTTCAGTCCTTATATTAACCTTAAACCCAATTGCCAAAAAATGTCTTGCTTGTTCCAGGAGGCTATTGGACAGCTCTGGGGTCTTTGGTAGATTTAGTTTTGTTGTTATTGTTTACTTTGAGACTGGCTCTTGTAGCTCTGTCTAGCCTGGAACTTGCTATAGACCAACCTGACTTCAAACTCACAGAGATTCACCTGCCTCTGCCTTCCAAGAGCTTAACAATATAAGGATATGCCTTTTAAAGATAAATTGTTTTCATTTGAGTAGAAGATTTCATGACAAGTGGCTGGTGTCCACAAAATAAATAGTTCTCACCTCAGAGAAACACAAGAGATGGCTCATTCTGGAGCCAAATGATAGGTTTTTAATCCCCAGTTATTGGAAACCTGCTGCCGCTGACGTAATAAGCCAATAAAACTGTATTATTAAATCTAGGTTGTTGTTTTTCCGATTTATTTATTATGTGTACAACATTCTGCCTGCACGTATGCCTGTACACCAGAAAAGGGCACCAGATCTCATTACAGATGGCTGAGGCACCCTGTGGATGCTGGGAATTGAGCTCCAGTGCTCTTAACCACTGAGTCATCTCTCCAGGACCCTAAATCCAGGTTTAATGAACAGAGCAAAGCTACTCCTGGGTGACCCTTGGAAAAGCAGGGGAGGAGTCACATGGCAAACACGGCTACAAGATCTTAAGTAGCCTATATGTGTGGTCTTGAGCAGCCCCCGGGGAGGACCCTTGGTTGGCTTTCTGAGGGGCAGCTGCTTGAAGGGGTTTTTGAGGGGGGGGCTGGAATGGGAGATGGAAGAAGAGGCTTGGGATGGCACTTCCCCTAGAACATCCCAGGCATCTTTGGGTGTATGGATGCCAGGGGCTGGGGTGGAGTTTCCATCAGAACACCAAATATGAGTGATGATGGCTCAGAACACAGATTTAGGCCTCCCCAAATGTCATGTTCCAATGAGATAGTGCAGAGGAAGTCATAAACCAACACACTTTTCTATAGAATTTGAGAGGATGCTCGTATTATATTCTCTTCTCAGTAGCAGATAGAGTCAGTCCAGCCCCATGGCAGTGACCGCCTGGGCTGCAAAGCAGGGCTGTAAGGGGGGCTGTGGCTTCTGCTGTTCTCCCTGTGGGGTCCCACACAGAAGGAAAGCCAGCCTAGGACATGGAGCCTCACTGCAGGGGGGGGACAGAATGTAGGCCTCTAGCTAAGGACCAGAGCAGGCCAGCCAGCAACTGGCCGGAGCACCAGCAGGAGTAAGTAGTGTATCTGGAAAGGGGAAACTGCACCCTTGGTTGCGTCTTGTGAGGGCACCAAGCGAGTCCCGAGAAAAAGGGCAGGCAGGCGCTATGGCCCAGAAGTTTAACTGCGCTTTGAGACCCCACAGCCTCAGCTGTGGCCGAGCTTCCCAGACCCAGCACCCTGCCCTCCAAATGCCTTGGGAACTGTTCTGCTGCTTTCCATCCAACCCCTGGAAAGTGGGGACCAGGAGGTATGTGTGTGGGAGGCTGGCCCCCAAGCCCCAAGTTCTTTCAACTGGCCAAAGAAAAGGCTAGTACACTAAAATCTGGCCTTACAGCAAACAGACAAATAAGCCCAGGCCAAAAAGAAACCTGCCACTCACCCAAGCTCAGCTACCAAACATTGGAGCGGAGGCCCCTGTGTTTCAACACCCCAAAAGGCCAGGCTAGTCCAGAGGGTTCTCATGACGGGGAGGTGACTGGTTCCCACGGGAGGCTGCTGAGGGCATCTAAGCATCCACAGCGGGAAACACAGCCAACGTGGCTAATGCCGGGGGCTCTGCTGGGCGGGCATTGGTGAGCCTCCAGGCTAGTTTTCACAACGGTGGGTTACTCGATCAGTCCCTGGCTGCCTGTCCCGCTGAAGGAGCTGGGCCTAGCTGTGTCCCCGCGTCAGGAAGAGCACAAGATCAGCCTCCCAGGATCCTGTTCCCCCTGAGGGACTCTTCTTCCATCCCAGTGTGAGGACGTCTTGCAAAATTTGAAGCAGATTTGCCTGAAACAGAGAGCCCCACAACACAAACTGAGACCACCAGCTAAACCAGCCAGGAGGCATATTCAGAGACAGCTGTGAGGCCTCTGAAATAAAGCAGCTAGCTTGGAAAGGTCAAAGCCCACCAGCTCCCTGAGCATTTTAAGTGGACCCACTAAACGGCTTAATCTAGTTCTCCAGTCTCTGAGAGCTATGGATTCTTCTTGGCCAGGGAGGGCGGGCGGTAATGCATGCCGCTGCCACTAGAGGGCACATGGACTCCCGGGTTGGGGAAATGGGGATGGGGAAGAGGGCAGGCTCAAAGGCGGGAGGAAGGCAGGTGGGATGCTCGGGAAGAGGAGGGGAGGAGGTCTAGGGAAGAGCCTTCAGAAACAGAGTGGGGGAAGGGGTCCCAGAAGAAGAGGACAGGGGAAGGCATATGGGGTAAAGGAGCCTGGAAACTGAGTCAGGAAAAAGCTAGGAGGCTCACAGAGACCACCTGAGGAGAAAGGACGAATAGAAGCTAGACACCAGCCACTGGGGCAGGGGAAGCATTTCCACCATAGCTCCAGAGACCCCGTATCCTCCCACCATAGCTCCGGAGACCCCGTCTCCTCCCACCATAGCTCCGGAGACCCCGTCTCCTCCCACCATAGCTCCGGAGACCCCGTCTCCTCCCACCATAGCTCCGGAGACCCTGTCTCCCACGAGTTCTGACATCGTGAATCCCTTATTAAGGAGACTGGGCTCCAGAGACCCTGTCTCCCACGAGTTCTGACATCGTGAATCCCTTATTAAGGAGACTGGGCTCCAGAGACCCTGTCTCCCACGAGTTCTGACATCGTGAATCCCTTATTAAGGAGACTGGGCTCCAGAGACCCTGTCTCCCACGAGTTCTGACATCGTGAATCCCTTATTAAGGAGACTGGGCTCCAGAGACCCTGTCTCCCACGAGTTCTGACATCGTGAATCCCTTATTAAGGAGACTGGGCTCCGCTAGGAGGCCAGAGGCCACACGTGCCCTGGGTACAGAGACCCTTGCAGAGCTCAGTTCAGGTCCCCTTCTTCTCTGGGACCCTGTGGAACCAGAACAGGAGCTACAATGTTTGCTGTTGGGTGCCCATACCCTACAAGAACAGGTTTCTAATTTAGTTAAGAATAAGTTTCTATTTCCTAAACCTCTCGTTTTGCAGCCTGCACTAAACTCATGACCCGATGGCGTATGATTCTCCTTTGCCTTGCAAAAGACGCTTTCAGGACACCTTGATCTATACCCGTGACCACCCCACAATGTATGACCCCCCTTCCCACATCATGCATATTCTTGATTTTACTCTGACCATTCGCTGTGTTTTTCCCGACAGCCAATTACCTTGCCCCATACACGTGCATACAGCTGCTTTCTATTAACCCTGTGGTTCCTGCCCCATAAAAAGACTTTAAAAAAGCAGTTCGGGGCTGCTCTCTAAAATCCTGAATTAAGACATGACAGACAGCTGGTCAGCCTTGGGTGCACCTCTGAATTAGGTTACTTTAATGAACAATCATGGATTTGGTCTTTTTCCTAGCATATTTGGGTTTAACGGTACTCGGATAAGAAAAAGTTTGCTTTAATTAATTTGGCCACTATGAGTTGGGTGGTTGTCTTCCTCCTCCCATCTTTGGGATTAACAGTTCTTATGCCTGCTGGGGTGGAGACGGGGACCATAGACCTGCCCAGAGAAGAAAACAGAATGCAGGGCCTTTTCCTGCTTCTCTCTGCTTCCCTCCCTCCACCTCCCTCCTTCCCTCTCCTCCTCTCTCTCTCTTTCTCATCTGGAAGCATTCTGGTAGCTCCCTCATACTGAGAAGCTTCTGCAGCAACGTGTGATACAGAGAGGCAGGGCTCAGTGCAGAGCAGGAAGTGCTGTG